GGCTGAGACAAGGCAGGAGCCGATGGCCCCAGACCTTCCCCTGCCTAGACTGGTGAGGGGATAAAAGCCCAGGGGTTCCTTTGTTCCAGGTCCCTCCTGAGAGGGACCAGCTCGAGCTGTTGTTTTGTTACTGCACTGTGATGAAATTATTTTAAGGATCAGGAGACTGAGACTCTGCTATAGGAAACTGGGGTCCACCCAGTGAGGAAACCTGCTCTGACAGTGGGAATGTAGGGGCTGTAGCTGGGAAGGCACCTCAGCCCCAACTCAGGTGGTGCAAGAGTGACCACCAGAGTGGCTCCTGGATGGTCGGATTGGGAATTTTCCTTGACACTACACCTGTAACCAATTTACGTACATCAAGATAGTATCTGGCAAGCTACTATTAGACTGATTTTTGCAAAAACAATTCAGAGGGAAAATTTGAGAAAGTTCACTAGTGAATACTTAGATCATGGTACAAACATACTCTTTCTTCTAGAAAGAAAATCATACAATTTAGATGAACAAAAACAGTTATGAGTGGCAAAACATTACAGCAGAAACAAATTCTGCAATAGTTAGAAGTAAAGATATTCCATGCTTGAAAGAAATCGATCTTCAAAATGTGGTAAAGAAAAATTAAATTAATTTTCAATTAATTTATGTGCAAAAAAACACTAGGGAAAAAAAAGCTTAAAATTAAATTCAGCTTTTTAAAATATGATCAGAAGTCATTAGTATTCATCTGTACACTCATGGCAAAACCCAACTGCATCTCAGCTCATTCCCCAAAGAGAGATGAAGATTCAGTATCAAACATTTTTTTCATACTTACAAAGGAAAGAATGATAGCATTTTATTACTTTAATACTTTCAAGTATTAAAAATAAAGAAATGCAGAAACCCAAGAGAATATTCTGATACAGCCAGTGTCTCTCAAAGTCAGATGAACTCCAGAAAATTAACTGGATTTGCTGTTTCACCTTCCTATATAGGTTTGTTTGTTTTTTTAGTATATTTTTTCTGGGTATGAATTTTTTTATCAGTGAAGAACTACAAGCAGAGAAGTGCAACTAGGTAAGTTTAAAGAATCTCTATGTGATTCCACAACAAATTAAATCTCGTTCCCATCTATAGCAAATCTCAGTAAGAAAGCACAAGAAACTAGAATTCAAAGTATTAATTAATGAAAAAATATATCTTGAAGTATCATGGGAAAGATTTTCAAAAGACCAAGAGAAGAATTTTCACAAAGCCCACAATAATTTTGCAAGATACTTCAGATAACACTCTAATCTATTGTTTCATACACACATAGTAAGGCACATAATAAAAAATTAGGTAAATACAAGTAATTTAAGTATTAGACTTAAGAGTGGTAAAAAACCTTGAGATTTAATTTTTCTGCCCTGAAAGATGACCTTAGCAAAATAACTTCTTAAAAACTTGAGAAACCATCATAGACCTGAATATTTTCCATAAGATTGCAAACATTTAATTAATTAGAGAAATGTAAAAAATTATTTTAAATCAAGACCATTTTCTTGTTTTATTTTCTCCAAGGTACTGCTACACATCCCTTCATAGTAGAAATAGGACATCAGACTTCCAACCAACAGTCAAGTCAAACTAATTCTCCAATACCACACCTTGAAGAAACTTGTCAAATACCTTTTACTCCCCAGAGAGAAGGCACTGCCTTTTCTCTAATAACTTAATCTATAAGAACAGCACAGACTTTTTATTTTTATAAACAAGTTATTTGTAAAGATTCGCCAAAGTATGAACACACACCCTGGTAACATAAATACTATTTAGAGGATACTCACAGTTACAGTTTGTTTTTCTTCAAGAAACCCAAGCACTATTTCACATTCAAATTAGTGTTTAATCTGCACAGAGTAGATTTACCTTTTCATTAAACATACTCATTTGGAACATTGTGAAAGCACTAAATTGTTTTGTAGGGCTGATTTCAACAAAAGCTGAAAGGATGTTCTCAAAATAAAATTATAAGTAGGAAATTTGATGATAAATATTGTTGCTAGAACTATTTCATAGAATACTCTTTCTATGGATGACATACTTGCAGCTAAAATCAGAAAAAATCATCACTTAATTCTTTATGTATGAATAAGGTTTTTCTTTGAAGAGACAGAGCAGTCACAGCTGCCTCAGTCTCTACTTGAAGATTTTACTAAAACTGTTATGCAGCCTTAAAGGGAAAATTCACAGAAAATTCAGATTGAAGATTTTGAGAAGGAAACTTTGAGATGTTGGTTTTCTCCAAAGTCATGATTGTGAAGCTCAATGAGAGCATGAACTGCTTCTTCCACAGAGCCCAGCTGGATAAGAGCCATTTTGCAATCGTTCCTGAAGAACAATAAAAATTATTATTAATCCTAACCAAATTTTCACTAGCCAACAGAGAAAAGTAGCATAAGTAAGATTTTTTTCTCAGCTATATCACATACATTTGTACAGCAAAAGAATCAGAGCTATTTAGGCACCTGCTAAAACGTAAAGATAACAAAAATACGTAAATTTTGCCAATCTATGGCTTAAAGTCATGTCATTCTTTCATTAAACAGTACTTCAAAAAGATAGGTCAAAATAAGGCTTGAACACCTCTAAGAAATACTTGCATTGTCCATACAGACAGAATTATTCTAGCAGGTATGATCATAATAAAATAATGCTGCCAACTAACCTTAATTAATGTCAACACATTGTCATCACTTTCATTTTTTATATGGCATTTTACATACACAAAACTTGTCTTTTATCAAGAAATGAGCATTTACTTCCCTTAAACTTGTTTTACTTTGAACACACATGGAATTTGTCAAAAGGCTGCATATTTTTAAGTTTAGTTATGCTGACCCAGTATTCGATTTAAAATTTTAAGACTGAAAGGATCATAAATATCATTATAGGTGTACCACTTTTGCCTACAGCTATATATACATGGAATTCTGCCTGTAGTTATATACACATAGAAAGTCACAAAAAAGCAATTAGCTATTTTCCAGGAAAGATTGCATGGCAATTTTACAAGAAAACTTACTGGAAAAATTTGAAGCCTTTCACAGTAGATCCTTTACTTGTAAAAAGGTTCTTCAAGTCATCAACAGTGACAGAAGTCCTAATTGAAAACAAACAAACAAACAAACAAACAAAACAAAAACAAATTCCCCTCAACTTGCAGAAGAGCACAGAGTTCTGTAATAATATCAAGATCTCAATTTTGGCTTCTAAACTAGTTTTGCTGTTTAAATTTATCTCCATCAACTCAAACCACATCAACACTTCAGCCCAAAACACTTACCTTTTGCTCCACATTTTAGTATCACATTGTGCTACAAAATTATTTTAAGACACACTATTGTTTTTCATACAACCCTGTTTCTTTCTCAGTAAAATTAAGATTGCATAAAAATCTCCTAACATCTTAAGGAATACATTTCATCTTGCAACTTGTGCAAGTGCATGTCACATATTTTCAATTTTGAAAGATTTTTGTTTTACTCAAAAAGCTGTTTCCAAAGTGTCTTAAAATTTTGTTTCTTTCTTACTTGGGCAAAATTCCATAGTTTCCTTTTTTCCCCTCCCTGCACAGCTGGGAAGAAGAGAAGCCTGTAAAAACTAATATTTGGCTGTTACACCACACACTACTGATAACATTCTAGACATAAAAAATATTATTTCAGTCTTAAAGAGTACACTAAATACTTTCTTCCTTCTCACAACTTGCCCTCCACATAAAGAGATCGGAATTTTGTAGAAACTGTTCCTTAAAAGCTGTTAGAATTATTAAAAACTGTATGTATATTAAATAACAATATTAATGATGAATTTGTTGTCATGCACATACCTCAAAAGACATGTCTTTAACCTTCGTGAAAATTTGTGACACGATTTAATATACCAAAAACCAAAAGCACGCTCTGAAGAAAATGTAAACTGATCAAAACTCAAAGACAATAATTCCTTCAGTTATACTCTTTGCTAATGATAAAAACGGGACAGTTAAAGGATTCACTTATTGCTAATTACATACCAGAGTGACCCACTGCAGAATGAATTGTAAAAGACCAAGGAAAGACAACCAAAACTTATGTCAGACTTTTTAACTTGACAACATAACCTCAAAAACATCTTTCCAAGAAGATGACACATGCAAATACTCACGGGATGTTGGAGAGATGCAGGGTGGCAGATGGAGGAAAGATATTTTGGAAGTTCTTAGAGCAGGGATTCTTAAAGCGATGTAAAGGGCTGTTGCTATAGTCCTTTGTCAGACCTTTGTCCTCTTGTCCCTCACGAGGAAGTTGAATTGTCTGATATTTTGAAAGAGTAGCATGCATGACCCTTCCATAAAGCCTCTGTCCATTCAAGTAGGTGATAGCTAAACAGTGGAAATGTAATTTGAACATGAATTAATGGAGGGGAAGAAAAGACAATTATTTGAATACAAATACTGTTTCCTACTTAGTGTCAGATCTCACATTCTAAATTTAAACTGTAACTTCCACATCTACCAGGTAGGCTATGTCACAACATTACATTTGAAAAGGTATAAGGATATAACAATCTCCAGTTCAAATGCCAAAAAATGCAAAACATTTCAATACTGACCAGTTGACTATTCTTAAATAGGTAGATATAAGATAAATTACAGGAAAATAATACAATGTATTATTAAAATAAATGACAGGAGAGTTGTATGTTTTAATTCTAATATTTACTAGATTGAGATTCACAGGACTTTTTTTTTTAAACCATTAAGAGTATTATCAAAGTTTGCATGTAGTAATGCAGCACAATGATGAATTTAATTTGTTTATGTTTGTCACTGACAGATGACAAATTCTTCCTTTATATTAATTAAACTCATGTTAGCTTGAAGCATAACTGTGCCTTAAAAATCAATACCTAATTGAGCCTGGCTTGCATCTGCCATCTGAACCAAAGCAATTCCTCTTTTCTTAAACATGATCTTCACACGATGCACATCACCATACACACCTGTAGAAATCCAGAAAGGCAATTTTTTCAGAGCACGTCTACAAAAAGCATAAAGTCTGCTTCTTTTGACTAACATTATTGTTACAAAGAATAATCACCTCATTAAACAGGTTGGTTAAAATATTAGTATAAGGAGAGTTTTAAAGTTTGTGTATTATTTTCTGGGGCTCATAAGTGGAGGAAAATCCCCCAGATCCTAGTCATACTATTGCATGTTTACATTCAGTTTTTCAATAGTGTAATGGTTGTCAGTCCTCTTAACCGAGGCAAAATGTTACTCTGCCAAACACTGTGCCCTGCAACTACCACACCAGTCAATTCTGTACAGCATTTCCTCTGATGCAATCTCTGTTTTTGTATCTTACTTTGATTTTCCATTTTTTATAGTAAACAAATTGGACCACACACCAAAATTCTTCTGACACTAACTATTTTGCCATTTTGGTATCTCTGGCTTTAAGTCCTGACTCAACTTACTGAGACCTTAAAACCAATGCATTCTCTCAGTGCATTTCCTGGACATGCACAGAGCAATGGAGTTTGAATTAACCAGCATGGGTCAGATAAATAAAAAGAACCACTAGTCCTGTGGTTTGTCAAGGCATATTTGACGAGTCTTACCAAATAGGATGAAAAGTCCATAAGGTGTGATGGCCTGTTTAAATGATAAAATGAGTACATTATTTTTAAAGCCATGCAAATAAAGACAGCTATTCCATAAGTGCATGGTAAACAAAAAGAATGGAAGAGATACTGCATACTAATACAAAAACCTGTCTCTCCAAAAGCCATTCCCTGCAACAATCAGTGTATGGCACTCTTGTTAGTACACATTTGCTATGCACATGTAAAATATGTAAACAAGCAAACAGTTCAGTTCATGCATTTTCATCACTCAAGACTCATTCTGTCATGCTGCAGAAGCTATTAATTTTTTAAGTAACTTCATTATTTGACCTTATTCTTTCTAAGCTAGCAGCTCATTCCCTGAAAAAAAATGAAAGACATTTGTTGAATTAAAAATAAAGCATTAAAGAACTCCTTTGTATTTTGTAAAAAACAGACAATACCAAAAAAACTAAACCCAGTTGCTTCAAAATGTGTTTGCTTCATCATCAATTTTGTCCCCATCCCTCTATATGGCCATGACATTCTAAAGGGAGACACAGAGAATTAAACTGTTTATGTATGAAACATATAGAAAGTGGTATTTAAATTGTATTTGATTAGAAGCTGTGAACAGAAAGCTAAATATTGAAAGAAATTATTTTTCTTCAGTGATCCTCAATTAAATTCTTGAGTGCCAAGTATCAAAGAAGATAATTTACAATCTAATGCAGTCAAAATTTTTCAACAGAGGCAAAGGTTTTGTCAGTAATGAGTTCTAGAAATACTTGTGTATCAGAAGCACTACTCACTCGCTAGCCCTATTCCTTCTCAACTTCTCAAATGTGTAGCAAACATACCTAAATGACGCAAAAATAGAAGATATTGCAGCCTAAGTGTAAGGCCATACCCATTTATCATCAGCATTTAGTGGTAGAGAACAACCACAATGTAAAATTTAAATTCATCAAGAGTTTATGCTTCTGGCCCAAATATTTTAATTCAGGATGGAGATATGTGTTTTTAAAAATAAATTTATGATTCAAATGAGACTGCAATATTTCTACTTAAAAAAAATAAAGGGGGTGCAGGGGGAGACCAAAAGACAAAACCAGGCAATTTAAAAATCATGAAGGAATGTTTAAATGCACACTGAGACCCTGTAACAGGAGAGAAATACGAACTAAGGCCAACCATATTTTCCATACAGAAGAAAGGAGTGACAGGGTAGACAACCAATACTGAAGGACAAGTATTACAGAACTGCCAAGAAATATATTCCCAGTAATTAATGCTGTAGACATTCTTATTTTTTATCCTTTTAAAAAGCTGAGCATTACTTAATACATCAATATTGTATCACGCATTACAGCATTTGGAACAACAGTTCTACATGAATTCTTAGCCACAATTAGTACTACGTAGAGCATCAGTGTCCTAAAAAGAGCTCTGACCTATGCTTCACATATGCTTATTCTTAAGAGACATGCTCCTTTCAGATTCAAAAAATCATCTTAAATAGTCAGCTGCGGAAAGCACATCCACAGCCATCATCAGAAACTCACTGATAAATTGAAAAATCTAAAAAAACCTGCCCTATCTACAGCTGGATTTTTGATGCTTACTCTGAATTTGGCTGTTAGTATGAAAACAGAAACAGAACAGTAACTTAAACTGGTGAACAGAATTTTAAACCTCAGAATATGAAGGTAACTTCAATTTTGCCCACAACTCCTAACAGTTTTAGTTAACAAAATATAATGAATGTAAGTAACAAGAATTTTACATTACTGCAATAGGACTGCTTATCAACAGTCAAAAAGAAATGTTTTATAAGTCATGGCCTTGGTAAAGCTTGATTTTAATTTTTTTAGAAGATGCATATTGCTTTTAATCAAGCACTGATCAGTGTTTGAATAACATGAGTAAGATTATAGACCAGCCTATGTCATTTCCACTACAAAAATAACTATCCAAGTTGTCTCTGGTAAATTTACTGCCACCGTATGAAAAAGCATCTATGTGGTACTATGAAAAGTGAACATGGATACTTTTTAACTTTTAAAAATAAATATAGAGTGATGTCAATAGCATAATGTACCTTTTGTGTGTACAATGTGTTCTTCAATCTCAAAAAAGTTGCAAAACTCGAAAGATCTTACACATGTTTAGAAAGGTACTTGATTTGGCATGCTTTTATTTCCTTTTCTGTTCTCTCCTTTCCATTTAATTCCTTGTTTTTTAACCAATGTAAGGAGAAATCCTTTGCCTTCTTTACAGGTGAAACAGCACACAGAGGAGTCATACTAACAGAGATATCAGTAAATTATCGTATATATATTGTTTACATCTTCAAACATTGCTTACATTTGACCACAGACCTCTCTAATTACTAACTACACTGCTAACAAAGGGTTCCTAAAGTAAATTGTGTTAGGAAGCTTTTCACTGATGACTGGAGTTTTTAAACCTCATCAATATTGCCAACTGCCTAAAGTAAGTATAGAGCTGTCCTGTTTTTTACATTATCAGCATAGAGATTTTCTCTTATTTCTTCAGCAAATGTCAGTTTGCAAGGATTCTGGAAGTTGGTACAAGGTGACACGCATCAGTTCCACTAATCAAACTTACTTCAGGGTTGAGGTTGCTGACTAGTAAAACAGAGTTTCCTGGAACACCAGGAACATTCATGTGTCCAGGTGCTGCTGATGTGGTGACCGTGAGAGGACCAAGTGCTCCAGGAACAGGCAGAACAGAAGGACCTGGAAAGGTATAAATAGCATCACTTGACATCTCAAAGTAGAAAAAGAAAAATACAAGCAGGTTGTATTTGGCAAAACATCGGTATTCAATTTAAAAACGCTTTTAAGGAATTTAGTTATTACTGACCAATAAAGCAAGAAGCTCTCCCTTTCAGAGAAAAAAGAAACAGTCAGCTACACAAGCAGATCCAAACAGAAGGGGACATAAATTGCAGCCCAAGAAAAGAGAAAAATAATTCAGCATACAAGTTTATCCTGTGCTAGAAAGGAAAAGTCACAGTCTAAAAATCTATCTATTTCTCACTTAATCGGCAGAGAAAGGGAGCCTTCCCTTTATTTGCTTTGAATGTCATAGCAGTTTTATGATTCTGAGAAAAACAAATGCTTAATTTCTTTTCTTGCACATAATCTTTATCATGGCATTTAGGTTCTTTGCTTATTGAACAATAAACTATACCAGTATATGATTTTTATTACAGAAATTTATTTTATTGAGTATGTATATGAGAAAGAATTACAAATACTCAAATACTGTGTTCTGATTGCTGTATTTCAAAACAAATGGCTCTGAACAGATGTATTCAGATGGGCCACTAGCCATAACTACAAACACCACCTTTTTAGAAAACAAACTTACCTGCTCCCTGAGGAAAGCCTAAGGCTGGGGCAAACCCAGGAGGTCCTGTATATGATGGAAAGACGGTATTTTGGGTGGCTAGAGAGAACAGACAGATTTTTTTTTTTAAGCAAATTTAAAAAGATTTAGAAAACAAAAGAGATTTCAGCAATCAGAATCAGCTACCAGTGTTGCTATTTTGACTTTATCTGTGATTTGAGATGTTTACAAAACTTTTGGGTTAAAACTCTCAGTGAAATCTACGATTCTATGTTTTACAAAGGCAATTTTCAGGCACTTTTGAAGGCAAATATTCTGGTCAGCCTCAACATTCCTCCCTAATTGAAGTCAGAGTAAAATGTAAATTAGAGGCATTTGAATAGGAAAGCACAGAAGAGATTAGTGTTGAACAGTGTGTTCAATGGTTTCTATTCACAAATGGAAATGTATTCTATAAAATTTCTGCAAGTAAATACAGTCAAAGATGTTTTGCAATGATATGATACAACTCCTGAATACTAAGATCAGTATAAGCTAAACAATACAAACTTCTACAACTAATATGAGGTTCTGAATTTTACTAGCTGCTGAAATGCATAAAGTATATATATTCTACTTTTTAAGGAGATGTACTTTCCCAGTTTGTGTAACTTCATAACCAACCAGTGTTTTTATAGTTCCCCTGGAAATCATAAGCACTAACGAGATTTGGAATAGCAACATATGGAGAATCCCAGCATCAAAGATAGCTCAGTGATATCCATACTAGTATGTGGAGTTAAGTGCTACCCAGGATAGCACACAAAGCTGTTTTGCAAGCAGTTAGATACAAGACTGAGCTGTGGATTCGTTCATATGTAAGGACACACAAAATTTTAATTTTTTTAAATGGGGCATGTATAATCAGAAAACACATTCTACAAGTTTGGCAATATGTTTGTTTTACTACTCAAACCTCCATACCACTGACTAAAATAGAGCTACTAGCAAATGGTTATTGATAGGGATAATACATTACCAAAATAAGTATCTATTATTAATTACAAAAAGAAATGGAACAGACACCACAGATCAAGTATTCACAAACACTACATCACATTACACCTTCTCTTATCTGTGGCAACAAAGTGTCTTTTATATAAAAAAACTGAACACATCACACCAAAGCAAGTAAATACATTCTTGAAGTACATGCACTAGTGCATTATACTGACAAGTTCTGGCAATATAGTTACTAATCACTTATTCACAGTTCAAGAATGGTAGTGGAAACATTAATAAAGAAATAGATCAAGAATTTTTATTCTGCCAAATAAGACGTGCATGCTGCACCCTGATAACCAAAACCAGGAATGTAAAAAATATCAAACTGAGCTAATGCAGAAAGATCTGGAATTCTTTGTTGCTTTTTTTTGTTCTTTTTTTTAATTCATTCACTTTATGACTCTCAGCCTAGCTTTCTAAGCAATCTAATTCATGTATTTCTGTTAATGCTCACTGGATGCAAGAACTCTTTAAATGCAAAATATGCACAAAATCTGTTTGTTTGTAGTACAGAGTCTCTTCCACAAAAAGCAAAAGAAAGATTAAAGAAAAAAGAGAAGAAAAACAAGTTCCAAGAGTAGTTCAGTTTTGCTATTAAGATAACTTCAAGTGCACAATAAAAAAAAATAAATGTATTATTCTGAAAGTTACCAGCTTGGTCTTATAATTCTACATCAAAACTACATCCACTAGTAATAAGAGGCAGTGGAAGTACTCACATGACTTAGAACATCTTTTCCTCGTATTCTGTAACTAAGCCTCTCAGAACATGCCAATGACAATATGTGCATCTTGTCACCACTGACAGAAAGGCTAGGAAGCACACCTCTCACCATCCATAGCTATTATTTTGGTTTTGCTATTTGTTTTGGGTTTTTTGGTTCCAAAAGCATAGTAATTTCTACCCTACAAGCAAGTGCAGAAATAAACTACTCTAACTGTACTTTTCCCTTCCATTGACATTTCAAATAGTGCAAGTCTAATTCATTAGAATATATTAGACTGGTAACAGCACATTTCTATAATGCTGTCTGGCAAATTCCACCATCCTCTGCCCCAGACTGTAATGGCAACTGTCCTTTACATAAAGATCCAAGACCTGCATTTAAGGGGAGCAGTAAAGACAAAAATCAAGAAAGTAGTGAGTGCAACTCACTTTCTTATTCTGATCTAAGCTAACTAACTCAACTATCCAGAAAAAATCAAACCAAACCCAGTACTTGCCCTAGCTGCAAATTTTACAGAAAGTTAAAGGAAAATAGGAAATTATTCTCCCACACTTTTTACTCTGCCAATCAATTGGACTTGAACCTACACAACAGCTATGACAGTTCTTAGCTATGTATTATTATTAATGGTTGTTATTAGAGAGAGACAAAGATAGCTAAAATCACTCAAATTGTGTGTGTTTCTCCAGTGTCACTTCAAGCAGAAACTGTCTCCTCTATGACAAAATGTCTTCCAAAATTTAAGAAAATTTCTTAAATTTCTTTTTAGAAGATGAGTACAGACATATATAAATAAGTATAGAATTTTGGATTTTCTTACAGTATTGTTTCTTGCAGCACTCAATTATCCTCAAATATCAACAAATAAGAACTAATACCTTTAAAACACTTCTTTCCAAGCAGCTTTAGGCAGCCAGTGTTATTCTGATATGCAATATTTACTACATTACCTGTACCAATGATACCATTTCACAGCATTTTAGCACTATTTTGTAGCTTTTTTACAACACTTTAAATTTGTCCACGAGTATTCCTCATGTTATTGTTTCAGATATTTGTTTACCGTGTCTTGGACTTCATGCTTTCCATACAAATTTTACTGGACATAACAAACAAAAATATACACTAAATGTACCCTTCTATGAACCTGATATGAAGCCAGAGCATAAATGCAACATAAAAATTATGATTTCAGTGTGTATTTAGTACTAGAAGTGAAGGTTTCTTACCAAAGGGAGTAGATAAGGACGTTTCTATGGTTCGTTGGCCATCACCAAAAGGAAGGTCAATACGAGTGAAATCTCTACTTTTGTCATTGTTGTACTTCACTGTTAGGTTGGTTAACTTGGAGAAATCAATACGCAGAGTGCAGCACCCACTGTAGATACTATGGCCATCCAGAGACTGAAGAAAAATAATTACATTTTCAGAGATAAAACACATCATGGCAGCCACCACTACAAGTTTATATTATTATTGCAGCTTTCACCACTTGAAGGTGGCCTATAAGAAAGATCAGGACAGATCTTTTAGTAGAGCAGGTGGGTATAGGACAAGGGGTAATGGTTTCAAACTGGGAGGGTTGATTTGGAATAGCTATATAGAAGTTTTTTACAATGACTGTGATGGAACATTGGCACAGGTTACCCTGAGAAGAGGCTGATGCCCTTTGAACAGGACTCTGAGCAACCTGATCTAGTTGAAGGTGACCCTGCTCACTCCAGGGGATTGGACTGGATGACCTTTAAAGGTTGTTTCCAATCCAAACCATTCCACCATTATACGAGTTTTTACCTCGTAATTGTATCCAAACAGTAACTCACCTTCTGGTATTAAGCCCACTTTTTAAACACTAAATAGACAATTATGCTGCCATTTTGCTAACCTAAACATCCTGTGTAGAGTTCTAGTGTAGTACACTAGTAAGTATTATATCACCTTGTGCAAATTGGACAAAACATAGCTTTAAGCCTTATGTGACTTCCTATGTTTCTAATCTTACTTCTCCCACTCAACACACAATATCAAATGGTAATAGGAATACTAATTTGGAAATTTTGACTGCATGAACTGACCCTTACATGAGGGACTCTAACAAAGGATCTGAAGCATGAGAACTGTGAGAAGTGCTGGAGGGAGCTGGGGTTGTCTGCCCTGAAGAAAAGGAGGTTCAGGAGAGACCTTACTGCTTTCTACAATTGACTGAAAGGAAGCTGTAGCAACACAGGGGGTTGGTCTCTTCACCCATGTAACAAGCAGCATGACAAGAGGAAATGGGCTCCAGTTCTGAATGGGGAGTTTAGACTGGATATTATGAAAAACTTCTTCATCAAAAGGGTTATTGGCATTGGAACAGGCAAGTGGTGGAGTCACCATCCTTGGAGGTATTTTAAAAATGTGCAGATGTTGTGCTTCAGGACATGGTTTAGAAATTAACTTGGCAGCATTAGTTTTATCACTGGACTCCATGACCTAGAGGGTCTTCTCCAATACAAGTCCCCAGACCTGGGCATGACTTGTAGTGAAACAACAAAGCAGACAGATCCTGTGTCCAAGTACATCCAGAAGTGGTGCATAATCGTTGTGGGTGGCACCCTGCTGCAGCAAACAGAGGCTCCCATCTGCTGACCTGACCAATGGTCTGAAAAGGTCTCCAGTCTGCCTCTCTCTGACTTGAATCACAGGTGTCATGAAAAGATTGCTAAGGCTTTTCTACACATCTGGCTATTCATTATCAACTGCTCCCTTTGTATGAGAACTAAAACTTGGGTTTAGTTGGACTTGGACTTGGGTGAAGGGGCAGAGGCCTGCTCAGCAATTTCACTGACAACACAAAGCTGGGAGGAGTGGCCCATACCCCAGAGGGCTCTGCAGCCCTTCAGAAGGGCCTCAGCAGGCTGGAGAGATGGGCAGAGAGGAACCTTCTGAAATTCAGCAAAGGCAAATGCAGAGCAAAGCCTGGGGCCAAATGTGCTGGAAAGCAGCTCTATAGGGAAGGAGCAGGGGGTCCTGGTAGACCACAAGCTGCCTGTGAGCCAGGAATCTGTGCTTGTGGCTGAGAAGGCCATGTCATGCTGGGATGCATTATAATGAGCATTGCCAGCAGGTCAAGGGAAGTGATCCTCTCCTCTACTTAGCACTGCTGAGGCCACATTTGGAGTGCTGTGTTCAGCTGTGGGCTCGTTAGCCCAAAAAAGACATGGAGCCCTCCTGAACTCAATGGGTCCAGTGTTGACCTACAAAGATGATTAAGCAATTGGAGCACCTCTTTCACAAGTAAAAGCTAAGGGAACTGGGCTTGCTCAGCCTTGAGAAGACTGAGAGGGGAATATATCAATGATTTTCATTTTGATAGAGTCATGCAGGTCCTGGAGTGATGTGCTATACATTTGTTTGTTAGTTGAGTAGATAAAGTGCTGTCCTTGATGTCCAAGTTATTCATGTGCAACAAGAGTATTAGAATGATGAGAAATCACAAGGTTAACAGACAAACACAAAATATTCCTAATGGTTCCCCTGCCACTAAGCAGGGAAAACCACCCAACAAAAAAATAAACAAACAAAATCAAGTTGAATACACTGTACTCACCATTTTGGCATGATATGCATTCGTTGCATCAGCAAATTGGAGCAGAACTTGAAATTGATTGTTCTTATGGAACATGACAATCTTCAAGACAAAGCCAAATTTAGAGAAAATCTGTTAGGGAAAAAACATGGGCTTTAAGAAGCAGTGAATAATTCATGCACACTAAAAACTAGCATTTAATATTCCAAATAAATTTCTGAAAACTATTTCTGTTGTGAGACCTGAACAAAAATTGTATCAACTCAAAATTTCATTTCAGGTAAAAAAATAATTAAAGAAAGGATACAAAAATGAGAAAGAAGGATAAACATTTCCTTAAACAATTAGCAATGTCTAATCAACTAAGAACAGGGAAGGGGAGTCCAAACACTCATTTGTCCAGTGTCTGCAGATAAATTGTGGATAATGAATCAAGAGTTGAGGTTTCAGAAATGGACTTCACAAGTCATAGAATCACAGACCATTCTGAGTTGGAAGGAATCCACAAGGATCATCAATCAATCATCAAAATTCCAGCTCTGCACAGGACACCCCAAGAGTCACACCATATGCCTTAGAGCATTGTCCAAAGGTTTCTGGAACTCTGTCAGGCTTGATGCTGTGATCACTTCTCTGCAGAGCCTGCTCCAGAGCCCAACACCCTCTGGGTAAAAAACCTTTTCCAGTCAGACTTAAATGTCCCTAACTCAGCTTCATGCCATTTCCTCAAATCCTGTCACGGGTCACAACACTGAAGAGACCAGTACCTGCTCCTCCCACTTCTCCTCTGAGGAAGCTGTAACTGCAATGAGGTCTCCCTCAGTCTCCTCCAGGCTTAACAGACCAAGTGACGTCAGCCACTCCGCATAAGGCTTTCCCTGCAGACCTTGAACACTGCTGACTCATATTCAACTTGCCATTGACCAGGATGTGCAGGTCCTTTCCACAGTGCTGCTCTCCAGCCTCCTGTTCTCAAGGTCATACACATTCCCCTTCCCAGTTCCAAGCTAGTTTAAAGCTCAGACAATAAGCCCCACTAGCTCCTACACTAGAACACTTTTCCCCCTCTGCATCACATCAAGTGTCAGTGGAACAGGTGCAGAATAGACTATCCCATGGTCAAAAACCTTAAAATTTATTCAAAAACACCACAGAGCCACCTGCTGACCTGATGTATCTGTCTATTTCTATCAATATTACTCCTTGTTACTGGAAGTCAGCTGAGATGGGAACTGCAAACTGCATTTTAAGGTATCCACCTTTATGTTCTGTATGTAAGACAAATTCTGCAGATCTCTTGAACAAAAATACAACTTAAATAGTTGATGTGCTTATTAAGACCCACTGCCTAAACAAGAAAACAGAGAGGAAAGAAGCAAGATAAAGACCTAGATTTGAACCTACGCCTATACTTTATAATCAAATGGTACTTAATTAATTGCAAATATAAGCATTGCAGAAATACTTTTAAAGGCTAAATTTAAATATACATACATTCAAAATGGGAGTGTGCATTACATGAAGGCGTCTATACAAAAGCAAAGCCACAAAGAGTGACAACAAAATTAAAGGTAGGACATATGTAGGAAAAAGGAGTCCAAACTGACAGTCAAAGAGGAAAGGTGAGTTTGAGAAATAGTATTTGCTTTCAAACAAACTGTTAAGAATCAATGCAAAGTCAGGAAAACAGAAAACCCTGAGAAATACTAAACCTGCAATGGAAAGAATGGCCATATATAAGTATAAGCATCTCTTGCCAGCCTCTTAGGCCTAGAATCAACAGTACAAGACTCATGTCCCAACTCTTTGTACCCAGTTTTTCCATCTCTCAGAATCAAGATTTTAATGCTGAAATCATCATTTAGCCATAGAAAACAGAACAGAAACCTTTTCCCAGCAATTTAAAATTAGTCTTTGAGTTCCTGTTCATAAAGCAATTCCTCTTAAGAAATGCCTAATTACAGTTTCTCATCATATGCTTTTCCACGTTTATCCAGAAAACTTAGTACTTTTTTAACATAATGAAATTTAATGTACTCCTTCCTGTTTGATTTTAAACCTAAACACACCGTATATATCAATTTTGTTACTGCAAAGATAACACTGAATTTTCAGCTTCTTATGATAAATATTTTAAGGCGAATTATGGTAAAAAAAGTTCATTTCTTGACAAGAAAGACAACTTACAAAATACAATCCAAGTATGGGATAACAGCTTGCCTACTAATGTTCCAGAAGATGCTATACTTGTTAATGAAAATACTCATTTCCATTAACCTTACCACACAAAGTAAAATTTAGATTTTAGCTATTGGACACAACATGATGCTTAAATTAGAGGAGACTGTCCCCTATTAAGAACTTCAAATAAGATCCCTTTTCAAATATTGATAAATTTTCAAGACATATTGGAAAAGTAGTTGAGTGAGAATAATTCAAACACTGAAAATATAGTTGTGCTGCACTGAAAGTAAATTAATATAAATTTCCTCTTTGCTGTTGCATTCTTAGAACAGTACAGCTCCCATAACCACAGGAGCTTGTTCTGAGGTTATTCTGAATGCAATAATAAATAACAATCTTAAGCAACTGACATAGTATTTGCACAGGTTCAGTAATGAGTTAGCAACACTCAGAGACATATACAAAGGTTTAGATCAGGCAAATTGCTACATCCAAGTGACAACTAATCTGTACAGTATCATGGTGAGGAGATACAGAGGAACAGAAAATTTTAGGAGGTAAGAGGAAAAACAGAGTGTTGCTATAAACAACTATTATTGAGATCTTAGCAGAGCAGGAAAAGACTCTTTCAGGAATGCAGGTTCCTACAAAATCACCCCAGTAATTCTAAATAGTATTATTTAAGAAACTATTAACCATGGGGCATGGTTTTTACTGCAGAAATTACTACTAATTACAAAAGCTTCGAGTATGAAAAACTTTGCAATATTTGTAAAATAGCAACAAATATTTTGGACACAAAGAAGTGGTCTCAAAATTATTATTTTTAAATTTAGAGCTTTCAACAGCATAGCCCAAACACCTAGCAGAAGTTACAGTAATGTCTTTCATAACTACAGCCTACCATTATTCTAAGCTTTCAGAGGCAGTCAAATGCCATTCTGAAGATGAACAATCAAAAATATTTGTCCTAGCAATTTGCATATTACATCACTTGCACAGAGCTATAAAACCGAATATAAAACCCTAAATATAAAGCAAACTACAAAGATTACTCAGCAGAAAGTGCTAAAATATGGATTCACAAGTTCATAACATTCAATATTTCATTAGCTCATCATGAAAGCAGAATTAACAGTTCAAGTTTATTGCTGCTTCCACTGCAAGGAACTAAATGAGACCACATGAAAATCTGCGTACCGAAGCCCTCAATCTAAATTTCATTTACATAGAACTATTTCAAATCTAGATCCCTGAATTCAGGGAAATTATTTTAAAGAGGTAGTCCTCACTCAGAACATTCAGGAACCACAGACACTTAGGAGAACAAATTAATGGATTTACAGTAGCAACACTGGAACTGATTGTGTGTTTTTTTTAAGCAATCCTCATTACCTGATACAGGATGTCTAAAGTGACAGGGTAAAAAACATTTTCAACAACGATTCGAAGAACAGAACCATGACTCGGAAGGACCCCACCTTCAGCAGCAAGAGCACTTGTGATACCCAGGTTTCCATGCTGCACAGCATTCACACCTTGCAATGCAGCTTGAGATCTCTGAAATTAAGTCATAGCAGAGAGCGCAATTATTTTACATACAAATTATTCATACTAAAACAAAGTCCTCCTAAATGAAAAGGACAGAAAACACAAAAAACCATAAACCTTAAAAAAAACATGCTTCCTTGATATTATTGATTCAAATCCCACAATAATAAATAAATCATAACTCTTACTTTCCATGCTCCTCCAACTAGTAAGTGTAATTCACAGAACTGCAGGTTTTTTTTGTTAAACTGCTACTATTTTCTAATGTCCTAAAGGCACAATTTTTCTTTGATTCATTAAGCTATTGTAATTCTAGACATTTTTCCAGCAATATTATTGATGACAACATTGTAATTTTGCGATAGATTAACAACCAGTCAGCATACCAAAAACTATTTGCTCTGCTTTACTAGGATTTAATTCTCTTCGGGTTTGATGGGGATAAGCTTAAAGGTGCACATCCTACTCTTCTTTCAGAGCAAAGCCATCAACCACAAAAATAGGTTCAAATCTCACTTCTCAAACTATACTTCTGTGATTACACAAGTCTCTTAACTTGTTTTTCTTGGCCTTTTACCAAAAGAGATCTTCATACCTCCTTTGAGTAGCAGAACTGTGGAGAGACCTGAAGTCATGTCTCAGCTACACTATTTCTTTGGAAGATAGATTAAACAGGGCACATGGCACATATTACCTAGTTTCAGAAAAATATATACCTGCAAAATAATCTGTACTTCATATCTCAGCCTAGGGACAGTAATAATATTCAGATGCTCTACTAGGGTCTCTTTAAAATTTAGATAAAACTCAAATATACGTGACAAACAGCTTATTTTTAAAAGTTGACAATGTTATTATAGAAGAAAGCAAGTGCCACGTATCAAGTTGGAAATACTCAGAAAGAGACCCAAGGAGTCTTATTTGCAAATACACATATACTTTTCCCGAGGCTGTTATGCAAACCACATCCTTAAAACAAAAATCATGTTATTTATTTTGTTTTGCAAACAACACACTGATTCAGCAATCTTAGATGAGGAAAGAGACAAATAATATTTACCAGACTGACAAGCTTGCAAGACTTCAGTGACTTTTGTGTCAGCACAAATGAATGATTTATGCCCAAATCACTACTGTGAATATTCTTACAGGAAAAAAAAAAATCATGATACACACATCACAGTGTGTAACTTGTATATCTAAACGGGAGGTCAAGTGAAATTCATCCAGGAATCCAAAATCCATCGTTAACCCCTTGGGTACTTGGGTACTCTGCTCTGCAGTGACTGGACCCCAGCTTTATGACACATTTTAGCCTTTCAAATCACCCCACAGTTCACTTAACTGGACTGCATCAGTTCATCTATTGGGATATTATTGGAAACAACACTGCAAGTCTTGCCAAAGTCAAGATAAACAATATCCTCTTGTCTCACCTACCAATCCAGTCATCTCACCATAAAAGGCCATCACACTGATTAGACGTTACATCCTTTTAAAAACCTTTGCTTGACTATGACTAACCACTTTCTTTTCCTTAGAATGCAGATAGTTTCCAAAATGCGTTGCTCCACTCCTTACCCAGGGAACAAAGTAAGGCTGATCAAAGAGTGGTTCCCCAGATCTTTTTTCTGATCTTCCTAGTTATCCTTCCTTAAGATAGGAGAAGAAAGGATTTTCTTTTTTTTTCTCAGCCTCAGCAACTTTTTCCAACTACCAAGACATTTTCAAGATTGTACACTGGCATTACAATGACAACAATCTGCTCCCTCAGCATTCAAAATTGTATTTCACTAGGGCCATAGACTTTTTGTTTATCCAATAAGTTTAAATGTTCTCTAATATGATTCTTCTCTACTTCCTTCATCATGACTTTTCCACTGCTCTCAAATGCTTGATAATACCAAGGGCAAGTCTTAACCACTACAGGCTGCCAAGAAGGCGCTCAGTAATTCATCAGCCTTTTCCATCTCTTTTGTCCCTGCCCCATTCAGCAGCAGGCCTACATATTTTAAAAATAATAATAATAATAATCTTATTTCTACTGCTCATACAATTCAAGGAACCAAACTTGCTGCTTTTCACATCTCTCATCAGAGACAACTCCACATGGCCTTTAACTTTTCCAACATATCCCTGCATGTTCAGATAATGCTCTATAATCCTCCTGGGTACCCGTTCATGATTCCAGCTTTTCTGTCTCTTTTATGTTTAAGCCCAGTCAGGAGCTTCTTGTTCATACAAGCAGTCCTCCGGCCACATTCACTTGGTTTCACGATCATGATGAACTACTTTTGAACTTGAACTCCTCCACAATAATTTTACAGATACTGAGAAGTCCCTGTCTGTAAGAAGTTACTGAAAGTATATATATCAGAATTTGTCTACTGGCATAGAGAAGAGTAGCCCGTTTATTTACTAGTGCCGTGGTTTAACCCCGGTATGCAGCAAAGTGCCACACAACTGCTCAGTCACTTTCCCTTAGCACAATGAGAGAGGGAATTGGAAGAGTGGATGTGAGAAAACTCATGTGTTCAGTCACAGACAGCTGAACAGACAAAGCAATAGCTGCATGTGCAAGTACAGCAAAACAAGGTGTTTAAGCACCTTCCCCATTGGGAGAGAGGTGTTTAAACATTTCCAAGAAAGTAGGAATTTCATCAAGTGTAACAATTACTTGGAAAGAAAAAGGCCACAATTCTAAACATCCCTCATTCTTTGTCCTTCCCCCAGCTTTCAATGCTGAGCCCAACACCATATGGCATGGGACATCCCTTGGATCAGTTGCAATCAACTGTCCTAGCTGAAACCCTTCTCATCTTCTTCCATCTCACTGGCAGGGCAACATAAGAAGCAGAAGATATTAATACTTTGTGTCACAAGATTAATAGTTTCTGTCTCAAGCTGATACATGGAAAATTAACTTTGCCCTAGTAAAAAAACAGTACACAACTCACACAGTTATATCCTATTAAATGGAAATACTGTACTTACAGCCTGATGATGTTGATTGTTAGTCCGAAGTTCCTTGTAATTGGAATACTGAATATAAACTGGCTGATTGTGGAGATGAGGTGGGGCAGGAGTGTAGTAGTTCACCATAGAAACAGCAGCATCTACAGAAGCCATTTCCAAAAATGCCTGAAACCAATACACAGCTGATTTCAATGCTGGTTTTGTTTATAAGATAGGAAAAAACATAATTTTTTCCCAATTCCACTCTCACTCGGAAAAGATTATGTGAAAGTACAACACTGATTTGCTCAGCATTAGAATGCATTTGTGTTTGCATGCTTTATTCAAATTGTGGGTTTTCTTAGAGAGTTTGACATTGTAAGTACACTGTGTCATTTAAGAAGAGATGGAGTATGACATATGGGAAAGCAATGCTGCTGAAAGAACCACACTGCTAATCAATTTTTTAAACTCCTGAAACCAAGCACTATTACCTAGATAGCTAATATGCATACTGATAGAAAAAGTTGGGACATTAAACATCCATCAGTTTATGCATTGTATTGATCCTGCTCAGTGCTCAAGACAATTTTTTGAGTGAATGCTTATTATTTTTAGGATTTCTGTGTTTCTTCATGATACAAACTACTCTTCCACATCTAATAAGATTAAACAGATGTCAAAAAATTAGCGTGCATGTTAGTAACTTAAGCAGGCAGTCTCTTTGAAGACATATGTCATCAATAGTGGCAATGCAGTGATTCATCATCTATATGTTCTCCTTTAAAGTGGAAATAACAGTTAGCAATATTATTAACAAATTTCTAGTTCATTATTTAATCCAAAAGCAAATTAAAATCTTAAAATAAATTTCAAAACATCCTTTCACATTTAAAAATATGAAAATGTCCTGCTTTCAATTAAATATTTAGACATTGTTGCAATCATTTCACTCAAGCACAAGATCAAAATTATCAAAACATGAACCACATCTTCAGTCTTGCTCTTGTTATTGAAACATTGAAAACTACATACCTGTCCTTTTCCTCGTAGCATCAAGAGATTGGTTACTTTGCCAAAAGGGAGACCTAATGAAACAACTTCTGCTCCAGTAACACCACTTGGAATTTGACGAATATGAAGGACACGCGAAGGGGAACATGGCGATTTGTTTCCTTTACTCTTCTTCTTCTCATTATCTAAAATATTTTAGGGAGGGAGACAGACAAGCATACAAGACAAACTCATTGCACAGTGTAAATATCAGAACCTAAAGGAGAGAAACTGTTGCCTCAGCAATGACATTGACTTAAGTATAGTTCTTTGAACCTTAAGAAATTATATTTCACATCTAACAAAGGCACAGTGTAAGAAGACATCATCAACTATTCCAAATCTTGATAGCAAGGGAAGGGTAGGATATGTTTGGCTTTGCTTTGGACTTATTTGTTTATTTTCTGGAGATTTGGTTTTGGTTTTCTGTTGTTTTGGTTTTTTTAGAGGGAGGCCAGTAACTTCTCCCCAAATGCCTACACAAGATATTTATAAAATGTTAGTTGCACAGAAGAGGGGAAAGACATAACTGGCAGGTAATACATTATCTTTCTGTGATTGAATTGCTAACTCAAGGTTTGGGGTTTGTTTTTACTTTATTAAAGAAAGCCTGCTGTTCCAAATGATTTTAAGTTTTAAAAAGTCTTTGAAAAAGACAGCATGAAATACATACAAACTCTTAAGTCTCCGATGTTGATACACTGCCAGAGTGTTTTGTTTTTTTTAACATATGCCTGTTTGGATCCTGTAAGTGACTGGTAAGTGACCAATGACTGCATTTAAAGAATATTACTCAATATCCTTGAGTACTTTTAAGCAGAACACCACATCTGGAACAAGTATATTGTTCTAGAAGCAGTTGCAATGGAGGCAAGAGAAACAGCTTCAATACCTAATGTGTTGCATCCAGCCTTCCAGGGAGAAACACAAAAGATTGGGAAGAAATTTCTGTATGAGTTTTGTAAGAAGTTTCAGATTTTGGTATAGATTTCTTATACAATCTGAGAACTGGTTCAAGCAAGTTATTCAGCATAAGGATGTTTACAGAGGGTCTTTTTACTAAAAGCCTGCATAATTTCAAGCTGGATGATTAAAGCCCCAACCATACCATACTTAACAATTCTCCCACTTGCAAAACTGAGAGGTCTGCTCTGCATTGATTTTTCCATCAAGAAATTTTTCATGGCTTCATGTGCTCATATGCGTTCTGAAAAATGTGAACTTTAAGACAAACATGACCATATTAAATACGTATTGGTACCAAGCCACAACAGGACATATTACTAGTAAGCTCTAACAACCTATTTTGTTACTTTTCAGGTTCAAAATGGACAAGATGTCCCTCACTTATACTAAGTCAAAGAATGCTTGAATAAAGAAAGCAGGAAATGAAGCCTACTATGAATTTTGCCTTTCGTTTAATATGAAAGACTCTTGAAGAAGCAGTATCTTCTGGGTTCTGACACATTGTCAGAGGTGACAAAATGGAGCTAAGTGGCAAACTGCTGAAGTGCTTCTTTTCTTGCAAAACTTTAGGTACATCTCAAACACAAAACATCATAGCTTTTTAAACCATACTTACTTCTTCAGCTGTGGTTTGATACTAATTTTGATGCAGAGTGATAACCATCTGTATCTTCCAGCATCTAAATTTCAAAATTGATTCAACAATTCTTTAAAGCATGCCAAAGGTGATCACTATCCTGTATTGTACTACAGGAGTAGTACTTTACTCAATTGAGTAGAAGTAAAAATGCTTTCAGACAGACCAAAAGAAGCCTTATGAACAAAGTGAAAATTGGTTCCTGATGTACAAAGGGAAGTTTATTACAATCGCAATTCATGACTGGTACAAATGTATTCCCTGAGTAGCCTGAGGTAGAGAAGTACACATTTTAGATATGTTACCTACCAGACCAAAAAAACCCCAAAACCCCAAACATAACAAGAAACTGCTGCAGCTGAAGCAGCTGTATTAGGTAAAACAATGCATTTCAATAGCAATTACATTAAATTTTAGATTTATATTATTATTAATGCTAGTAATATATCCCAAAAACCTCTACAGCATTTAGACACCTTGGATGCACTGTGAAGGATCAGTCATTGCAGTGTTAATTAATAATATATATTTCAACTCTTACACTGCTGAGCTATAAGATAATGTTATTTCAAGCCAAGCAGAAATATTCGGACATCACATTGAATTAATCAGCAGCAGTATATTGTATATACATGTCAGCAACCTGACATGTGCAGGTCAAAGAAATCAAAAAGAAAAATCTTCGAGTTAGCTCCTCACACTCTTCATTCTTTGCCACTGAAAATATAGCAAGTCTTAGACACTTACCAAAAGATGATGTGCTCTGTCCTTTGCTCTGATATAAAATAAACTATTTGGAAACCAGTGCTGACAGGCAATTGTCCATGTCATGATTTAGTTAATTTATTTTATTGACATAAAGTTAATTCATGCAACCACTGGTCATTAACACTCCATGTACACCTAATGCTGGAAGTATTACTAACAAAAGCAGTAGCCAGCTTTCTCTCACTTCCAACTTATTGTCTGATCTAAAACTACAGGTAAACATACACTTACTGCATCTTCCTCAATACACACACACACAACAAAGGGGGGAAAAAAATGCAGAAAAAGAACATTTGAAGAACTTTGATTTTTTTTTTTTTTTTTTTAACGTATACCTGTAGTTGGAGTAGAATTGCTCATGGTAAAAGGTCTGTTATTGACACCAGAAGAAGCTTGTCAGGACCACACTAAGAAATAAAAGACAAGATTACTAGTAAAAGCTGTTACAGAGGAAGGTAATATGAAAGTGCAACAATTCCCTTTACCTATTCTTCCCAAGAACACCCCCTTCCTATATACATTACCCACAACTTCCAGGAACTTATTTTTCTGGGAAAAAAATGCTAACAATATAACTTTTCCCCATGTCTCAACAAATTAGCAAATTCAGCTGTGTTACACTTCATATTTAAATCTACCCCACCACAGTTCACTTTTAAAAAAGCAAGAACAACAAATGTTTAAGAAACTAAATGAGCTGGCTGCTGGCTCTGGGTCTGCAATACAACATTACTTTCACAATGCACAGCCACATAGGTAAAGTCTGCATTTACAACAGGACACAAGGGACCTCAAGCAAAACTAATTTGAGACATATTTAAACATACCCATGGTACATTTAAAAAAAAAAAAACAAACTGGTTTTCAGTACCTTTTTTTAAAATACATATGACTTACCATCAAATTCTTAGGACAAAGATCAAAGTATTTGCTTTAGGAGTGTTAAGAATCTGAGGCTCTAACTACTGAAAAGAGTTTGTGTAGTAAAGGTCCTTCATTCAAAAAATCAGTATCTAGCTCCAGTTACATCTGTTTTCTCATCAAGGCTGCTGTAATACTCCAACCAAGTATCAGCTTCAAAACACCGACAAGAAACAATGTACCACAACACTGCCAAAAGGCAGTTAAATTTCCTGAAACTTTCACCACACTCTTGCCATAAAATCATTTTAATGAAAAATAGAAACTAAGGGAGTGATTCTACAAGATGGAATAAGTTGATCGAAACAGCTTCTCATTACTTTAGTGGAAAGAGAACTTCCCATTTTCCTTGGTCCAATATTCCCACATGCACATGAACTATTTATCTTGCATCAAGTCTAGTGCCCAAGAGTTTTCCTATGAGATTAATCAATTCTCCAGCCTGCCAGCATTCTAAACTGAGTTAGATTAGTTACTCAGCTGAAAGAGAGGCTGAGAAGCGGCAGGATCCGCTGCAAAGAAGGGATAAAGATAAGCCATCATGCTGGCTCGCATTGGCTGCAAAGACACTGCTCAGAGTACTGGCTTATGTGGGGTCTGTGCTTAAAGGAGCAATTAGGTTCTCTTCATCCTTGTTAATCATGTGTTCCTGCTGCTTCCCTAGTGTGGGAAAGTCATTCACAACAGAAGACTGACTAGGCTAGGGTGCTTAAAAACCTTTTCAGCCAAATTTAGCTGCTCATGAAAGAGCACAGGTGTTAGTGTGGGATGGAAGAAAACATGAATGCGTTCATTCCTCTCTGGCAACAGTAGACTTGTTTTTAACCATGAAACTGCATCTTAACAGTATATTTAAATACAACATCTAATTGTGGCAAACAGCAAAATCATTTTTCCATTACAAGAACTAAAAAATATAAACCCTGAATTTTAAAGAAATGCCAATTAAATGGTTACTAGATGTCATGCACACCACACTGTACTTGCACAGATACTAGAAGGTAATTAACATGCAATACTGATATTAATTTTCACCTATTAGCAGTACATTGAGTAAATTGGCACACAGGTATTTCACCTAAGGAGCATATTTGATTGTAGAATGTTTATTAAACAAAAGCTGTATGTGCAGATGTAGTACAAGGTATTAATGATCCTTCATTACACCAAACCTTTTCATTTACTGAAGAAAAACTGCTACTGATGTAACTCCTGTTGTAGAGGCTTTCATTTGGTTTTTAAATTAGCATTTATTCAACAGAAGAAATCTCTGCTGATTTCCAGAAAAAAATGAAAAAAATGTGGTGTATTACCATGTCCAACATGTATTCTTACAATTTCATATTAAATTTTATATACACTGGTATTAAAAAAAAAAACTCAGACATTTTCAGATGAAAACATTTTCCAACCTCTTCCATTTTTAGCACACACACAGAGAAACAATTCAGATGGCTGCAGTGACCTGTGTCACAACTCTGTGTAACTGGCCTGTATCTCTAAAACAGAAGCTGTAGCTCACTTCAGCACACAATGAGCTGCTGCTTCACCATGGTGAACCAAATCAGCTTCAACAGGAGAAAAATTAAACCAAAATTACCACCTTCATCCATGACATGGACCTGTACTTAAAAGTGACACATCATGCCGTCACCGTATCCTAAAACAGTTTCCTAGATTTTGCTGTTACACTGACAACTATTAACCCACTGCAGCAGCCAAAACACAAAGAAACTCTTTAAACCCCAAGCTCATCACCCATGCAACTGCTTAACTTGGTTTAATAAAAGATCAACAAAACTTTGGGACTCTTGCAATACAGGGAACCATCACAATTTCAAACTGTCTTCATATCTTCAACCTAATACAAGGAGTATTTTTAAATCAACATACTTTTAACTATGTTTGCATTAAAAACAGAACAAAACAAACATTAAATCAAGACACTGTAGAATAATTGGCCTGGCCTAGGCTTGCTAACTCTTAAGCCCTGACTACAAAACTTAGTTTCTTATAGAACAATTTAAAATCTTACCTCAAGATTTTGGCTATACTTTTTGTTATTATCTGAATGCTCCAATGAAACACTACTCCAATTCTTAACTTTTTGTATCAATACTAAGTTATATACACACCCATACAATTACAGCACATTTATTAACTATAGCATGCCCCTTGGAAGGATGTAGTTTATGAAAACTGCTTGGAATGCCACTGTTTTTGCAGGTGGCTAACCAAAGTATTTCTCAAGTACAAGAATACTAAAAAGGTGCTTTTCATCTTCTCCTTATTTAGCCGGCTTATAAATGATAAGCCTTCTCAGTCACTGACTGAAAGCAGAAACAAAGCAAATGCAAAAACATTCTAGAAGATTGCAAAGATAAATTGACACCATGGCAGTTGTGCAAGTTGAAGTACAAAATGTGTATGTTTGAGATATTCTGGATTAATGAAAAAGACAACATTTACTTCTTCACTGTTTTCACAAATCTGCCCACATAGAATATACAAAGAAATTACAATATTTTAGTCTGTAAAGACGGTTAGTTAAATCACTTTCTTCCCCACATAGAGGTGAAAGAGATAATTTTTAATACTTTGCAACTTTGCAAGTATTTAACGTGGTGACAAAGATCTGCTACAGGCTGCTCTTGTAAACAGAGGCCTTTGAGTTTGCAAGGCCCTTAGTACTGCAAAAGTCCACACAAGAGGGTAATGTGCCCTAGATAATGTCTTATGGGATTCTGAATGAATCTTTCTACCGAGGCTAGTTTCCCACTGGTTACTTCTTAGTTATCCACTATTTAAGTCCAGCTGAAAAACAGTCAAAATAGCAGCCAAATCCTGCTTATAAAGATACCTTGACATCCTTCCTTGTCCAGAGTTCATGGACACTTGACAAGCACTTTGACACAGAAGCTCACACTGCTCTTGTGCCATCACACCCATTTCAGTTTTCACAGCACAGCTGTGTGGAGTAAGACAGCTGCTTAACCTCAGCAAGCTGCTCACACCAGTTCTCTGTGAGGCCACACTGTGAAGCTAACAGGGAGGCAGGCCAAATAATCATGCTGCCTAACCCTTCCCTGATAAAAACACTTCTTCCAGCACAAAGCCTATCTGACAGAAAGTAGCACCTGCCTTCTGTGTGCCAGGATTGTACCAATTTCATAGTGAATATTCCTTCTTTCAGACTGTGGTAAAGAAGGTACGTGGAATTGTTCACAGCAAGGACAGCTACCAAACCAAGGCTGCAACATCCTCCTCTATTCCTGCATTCATTCCAAACACATTAATCATCTCCTAACATCTTAAGACTCCTTTTTTTATGCCATAAAGACTTTCCACCTCTCCTACTTCGAGGCAGCATTTTTGCATTTTCTGGGGATTATTAATTGGTGATGGGTAAAGCAAGAGCAATGGAACAGCTACCGCTTGATTAAGTTTATTCTTTCCTTGTATTAATGAGTAATAACTAGAAACCAGTTACTTAGGAAGCTTAGCTTGATCCTCGACTTTTCTTTAAAAACAGGTTAACATCTATAGCACTCAATGAACAGTCCAATAAGAGGCCACCACAAAGTGTGGCACTCAGTGACAGGTTAATGAAACAAAGTATTCTTCTGAACCTACCAGATCAATTTCCCTGACTAAATACAGCATATTACATAACTGACTACAGCAACAGGTGCCTGTCCTGAAACTACTCTAACTCTTCTACGATATTTAAAATTCTGATATAATTTATGCTAATGATCCTGCAATTCCAGGATAAAACCCGCTGCATTCATAGCATATGAATGCATTATCTGAAAGTAAATGAAAGTCAGCAACTCAGTCACAAAGGTTTCTAAAACCTTTGTGAATCACCTATAGTTGGAAACAGAAGGGTAAATCTACTACTGCAAAATCCTTCTTTAGAACATGTCCATGTGTAAAAACTATGGCAGGTGTAGCATTACTTCTGGAATCACTGAATTCTATAAACAATCTTTTAATTTTTTAAAAAAAAGACCCTTATTACTCTCCCCTCAGCTTTCAACTGCACTATTTTCTTCCTTTTTTTTTTTTCTAGAAACAAATTTCACAAATTTCACAAATTCTCCAGTACAGTTTAATTAATTAGAAATGAGAGAGCTCCAGAGAAACTTATATTTGTATTGACGATTTTCCTAGAATTTAGCTAGTCATCCTTCTATGCTGTTATTTTTTAAAGTCAACAATAAGGAAGAATATTATCACAGGTTTCATTATGAAAAAAGATCATGGGCAATTTTAAGGAGACATAATTCTTTCAAAAAGGACCTCTCTCCATGCATGTAAATTAAAACTGCACATTTTTCCACAGGATTCTACACAGCAAAACAAACTAATTACTTGACATGACAATTTCAAGCTATACTAGTGACTAACCATTGTTATATTTAAACTAATTTTTCTACTGCATACTTTATTAATTTTTATGGAATCTGACTGTGAAAACAAA